TACGGTGTCGAATAATTTGGTGTCGAATAAATCTGTGTCGAATCGAGCGGTGTCGAATCGTACTGTGGTCAAACGGAACCCGCCCGGTTAAAACTTGCTTTAATGAATCGACCAGTAATCTCAAGAGAAAAGCAGAGGAAAAAATTTCCAGTCTAATGAAGGGAACGGGATATAAACCCTCTGCAAAAAGATTAGTGGCACAGTTTCCTCTCACAGGCCTTAACTCGCACATCTCTAAATCTTCGAAGCGTAAGCAGTGCTGCACAGACAAAAAAGTCGGAATACGTAAGAAAAAAACAGCGTTGAAGAGAACGAAAAAAGTGTCAACAAAGAAAAATCATAAGAAGAAAAAACGGAAGATAACTCGCAGAAAAAATAGCCGACGTGTTAACANGAAGCGCACAACAGCCGATATATTCTCTTAATTATTGTAAAGTCAATCGGACTCTGAGGTCAAGAACTAAAAGTAAAATAATCATGTCTTTTCTGCACACACATTCGTGCGAGTGTTCAAAGAGCGAGCTTGATCTCTTTTCTTTACCTCCTACACAAACTAGCATTGAAAGCTCGCAATGGATTTATTACAAACCTGTGACTTCTCTCGCAGACGACTCGCCCATAGAATTTGTCGTGCCAGGCCATGGCGAAGAATATCTAGATCTTACGCACACCCTACTAAGTTTACGCGTAAGCATAGATACGGTGTCAAAACCCNCTGCAACGGGATCAGCAGTCAAAGTAGGCCCCATAAATCATCTGCTACATTCGATGTTTAATCAAATCGACGTATATTTCAATCAAAAACTCGTATCTCCTCCAAACAACGCTTACGCTTATCGCGCATACATCGAAGCGTTATTAAATTATTCTTTACCCGCAAAAACTTCCCATCTAACTTCATGTTTATGGGAGGAAGATACTCCGGGGCGCATGGATGATACAGAAGGGGCGTTAAACATCGGACTTCGTAATCGTTCGAANTATTTTCAAGACAAAAACTCAGTAGATCTCATCGGACATCTTCACTGTGATGTTTTTAATCAAGATAAATTTTTACTCAACGGCGTAGAACTGCGAATGAGACTTGTGCGCTCAAAAAATTCTTTTTGTCTTATGGAAACCGCTTCTGAATCAAATTTACATATTTTAGATGCTAGTTTGCTTATAAGAAGAGCAAAGATTAGTCCTGGAATATTACTAGAGCATGCGCGAATGCTGAGCAAAACTACCGCCAAATATCCTCTTATCCGAGTCGAAGTTAAAACATTCACTATTCACTCTGGTGTTGTGGGTGAAACATTAGATAATGTAATACTCGGTCAACTACCAAAACGGATAATAATCGGATTNGTTGATAACAAAGCTTTTAACAGCGATAGAAAATTAAATCCGTTTAATTTCAAAAATTATAATATAAATTTCTTCTCGTTGTATGTNGACGGCACGCAGGTTCCCAGCAGACCTCTACAACCGTTATTTTCGCAAAATGCAAAACTATATGTCGAAGCATATCATACTTTATTTTCGGGAACTGGTATTCATTTCCTGAATGAAGGAAATTCTATAAGCAGAAACGCTTATGNTGAAGGTTACACGCTTTTCGCTTTTGATCTTACTCCAGATCTATCGGCTAATTGCGTCGGACATTGGAATCTTGTAAAACATGGTAGTTTACGCTTAGAAGTACGATTCGAAAAACCGCTTGACACTACCATTAACTGCATCGTCTACGCCAAATTCGACAATATTCTAGAAATCGACTCTTTACGTCAAGTTATCGTCGATTTTAGTGGTTAGGTTTACATTTTATCGCTATTCATCTTTTGCCATATTGTCGACGTCATCATAAAAAAAACACCGATGTAGTATAAAAGGCAGCTGGTTTTCGGGAAAAGACCACTTTGCTACGATACACGTTCCGCGCTAGGAGCAACGTACGTCATGGATATTGTCATCGACATACAAGGCTTTCGCGATGCGGATAGCAAATTTATTCCCAAGGAAGTCGCAGTTGTCGCAATCAACAGAAATATTACCGATCACTGGATTTTCTCTAATGCCGCCTTATCTCTTCTCGGAATTATCAGAAACATCAAGAAAAGAAAACAATTGGCTTACACGTTACTATCACGGCATCGAATGGAACGACGATGAAAGCAATCCTAAATATTTGGCGATTCATCTACGCGAAATTACAAGAAGCTGCCGACGTATCTACGTTAGAGGCAGCAAAAAGGTTCGCTACTTGCAAAATCTTCTCTCCAGAAATATATATAATCTGGAGACTATTTCCCCATCGTTCAAATGCTTGCCGGGCAAAGAACGATGTACTTTTATCACGAGCTTCGAGAAAGATTTAACAACTTTCAATGTGCATTAACTAACGCATATAAATTGAAGCAGTGGTTAAACGAACAGAATTCGATTAAGCAAAATCGCGGAGATATTTTTGTGCGACGTTTTCCGGACAGTGAAGTTATTTCGTCAGAAGACGAGGAAAAAGAACAAAATGAAAGTGATTGCGACAGTTTTGTAGACTGTCTAACAGGGGATGATATGACAAATAAAATGTCAGATAATTTCGCCAAAGACATTGAAATACCTACCCTCACAGTAGAAAAAACAACACAGACGGAGAACGACGCGAAGATAAATACTGACTTTGGGCAATACCTAATACCGGAAAATTACACATTACAGCCGCCGCTTACCCGCGATGAATACGCTTTTTACAAGCTCTGCAACAACTAAATGCAAAACAAATATTAATTTGTTTTCTATAATGATAGGTTTATTNTTATTTTTCGCGAGTCCGGGTGTATTGTCTCCTGAGTCTCTGCTCTCTTCTTTCTCTTCTTTGCTACTTTCCTCGTCGTCCTCCGTATCGCTTCTTCTTTCTTCTTCCTTGTCCCTTCGCGTTTCTCTTTTGTCTGGTGGGTCGTTTCTTTCGCTAGACATCTTGCTGTCCTGTTCTATTTGTTTCGCAGCCTGGCTACGCGTTAGTACTTTGTTGACAGCGGGTGGCGCGTGAATTTGCGCTTCCTCTACTATTATCTGTTTGTCTGGTTCATTTAATTCTTCTTGCGTAAACGGAATAAAATCGGGATTTTTGTTTAATTCGTAGTTCTCTGTTACGAATTCTTCGGCGTTATCTTCGACGTCAGAGTAACGCAATTCGACTTCTTTGTCTTCTGATTCGTCCTCGTCACTCTCTTCTAGCCATCGTGAAATTCGATCTGCATTTTTTGGCTTGTAAAGATTTAATAATTTGTTATTTTTAATAGGCTGACACTTTGCTTCTTCGATATTCACGGGGTTTCGTGACAAAGCATCGGCATTCACGTTGGTTTTGCCGGTTTTGTACACAACTTCGTAGTCATATTCGGCTAATTTTAATCGCCATCGGAAAATTCGCATTTGTGACTAATGTAAATTTTCGTCCATACAAGTAAGGTCTGAAATGCTTGACGCAGTAAACTATTGCTAGCGCCTTTGTTTTGTAAGTATCGTATTTGAATTCATTATCTGTTAAAGTTCGCGATGCATAAGCGATCGGTCTGTCTTTATTTATTTCGCCTTGCGATATTATTCTGCCTATAGCTATTCCGGAAGTGTCGGTGGTTAAGATGAAAGGTTTAGAAAAGTCAGGGTATTGAAGCACTGGTTCTTCGCACAGTTTGTGTTTTAAAATTTCAAAGGATTGATCTTGTGTTTCTTTCCATTCAAAGCGAGTATCATTTTGTAATAAGTTAGTCAAAGGCTTTGCTAGTTTAGAGAAATTTGGTATGAATCGTCTATAGTATCCGGCTAATCCAAGAAATTGTTTAATGTTTTTCGGATTTTTGGGTTGAGGAAAATGTTTAACCGCTTCTAAGTTTTTCGGATCGGGCCTGACTCTATCTTTGCTAATTATGTGGCCCAAATAATTTACTTTGGTTTTTAAGAATTCGCATTTGTCTGGTTGTAATTTTAAGTTAGCCTGGCGTAGTCGGTTTTTTAAAGCGTTGTATTTTCTTTTGTGTTCTTCTAGAGTGGCTGCATATATTACAATATCGTCTATGTAAACAAACAGCTCTTGTCCTTGTAGTCCCGACAAGACTATATTCATTACTCGCTGGAATGTTGCAGGAGCATTTTTAAGTCCAAACGGCATTCTTTCAAATTCATAATGCCCAAACGGAGTCGTAAAAGCAGTTTTATGGCTGTCGGCGGGATCCATTTTTATCTGATGGAAGCCCGATGCTAAGTCTAGCACAGAGAAATATTTAGCTCCTCCCAGTTGATCGAGAATATCAACAATATTAGGCAGTGGATACACGTCTCCTAGTGTTTTTTCATTCAATGCTCTGAAATCTAACACCATTCTCCATCGTTTGTTTCTCTTAGAATTTTCTTTCTTAGGCACTATCCATATGGGTGTGTTATACGGTGACTGCGATGGTTTGATAATTCTACCATTTAACAATTCTTCTACTTGGCAAGTAATTTCCTCTTTATGGAGCTGAGGGAATCTGTATTGACGAGTGTTTATTGGTTGCTCATCTGCGGTTTTTATGCTATGTTGCAAAACGTGTGTTGCTGTCAGCTGTTCTCCAGGAATATGAAATGTATCCTGGCTGTTTTTTATTAATTCGATTACATTTTCTTTCTCTTATTCGCTTAAATGATTGCCCCGCAATAAATCAATAATAGATGTCAATCTTTTTTTCTCAGGTGAGGTTTCATTATTTCCGCTTACTACTAAACAATTTTTATCGGAAACAAATGCCTCAAGGNGGTCTTCTATTATTTCCGTCCTTCGAGTTGATTTTCTTTTTCTCATAAATATGTCGATCATTTCCTTAGATTTACCATGCAATGTTTCTGTTATTTTTGAGGACGGTTTCTTTTTGATTAAATATTTTTGAGATTTGAGAAAGAGTTTTGAAACTACTAGGGTTGTTTTTCTTAATCTTTCTAAAAGTTCTTCAGCAGTGACATATTTTAATTCTTGTTTATCTTCTTTGGTTATTTTTTCTTTATTATTTATCCCGACCCTTGGAAATTTAATTCTTTCTAGGGAGGCAATATTTCACCCTTTTAAATTTTTATTTAAGAAGGTCGACTTGCGTAGTGAGGTTTGGTAACTTCCCTCCTCGCAATCGACGATTTCAAAGGAATTCGGAGGAGCCTGGAAACTCTTCTCTTTGTGGGTTACTACGGGATTCTTAATTACAGGTGAGGTTTGATTACTTCCCCCACCAAGGATTTTAGGATAAGAAGTTTGGTAAACTAAGAATGAAACAAGGCCGATACGAGCCATTCCCAGGATGTTGTGCAGGAATAAACGTGCATGTATATATATATATACACATGTATGAAAATTCTCATGTAAATTATTTTTACATGTGATTTTTGAATTGAAAGTTTCAATTCTTAAAATCATATAGGATGCTAGATTTGCATCTCATATATGAAAGATCCCAAATACCCCCCTAACTAATTTGAAAATATTGCGAAAAAAACTCCTCGGCCAGGAGTCGAACCTGAAATCTCCGGCTTTCCGTGCCATCGCCTTCCCTGTTAGGCCACCGAGACACTTGGAGTTTGTCTCGCAATACTTGTAATATAAATCGATGTTCTGATAATTTTAATAACGCTTAACCATTTCAGCACAGCGTGAATTTAAATGAATGAATAG